GGTTCCAATAAGTCTTCCTACCAATATGACCATGTTGCAAAAACAAGGTGAAACAACCACTAAAATGTTTCTTGACCAAGAATGTCAGCAATTCGATAAAAGTGGGAGTGATACAATACGACGCAAAGGTCAGTATCATCACGGCTCACAAGATTTGACCATTTTGCCGCGGTTTGTGTCATCTCTCCACAATGACCGACTCTCTCGGTCACTCTTTGCCTATCGTGACACGACCGACCGGCAACTGGACATTGTGCGAGCCTGGCAGTTTGATGTGGCTGCCATTTCAGACGAAGGCCCGTAATCTTTTTCACCTCGGCTCCCGGGTTCACACGATGCCAGGCACTTATGGGGACGTAAACACTGGCGGTGGAGATAAACAGTCACTATTGCGGTCACTATTGCGCTAACAAGTCAGCTCACGGAACAGTGAACACTGTCCGATCCCCCTCTCGTCCAACTCCCTGTGTTTGTATATTCACATGTGTATATGTGCGTGTGTGCTTTTGCATTTGTATACAACTTGAGATTGGAGCAGTGCTAATCTGTAAATGGGCTCATACTTTCTAGACTTGCGTTTACGCGTATGCATAAGTGTTTTGCATGTGGGTTTGTTTAGGTCTGCATAACCGACTCTTTTTAGAGTTTATCACGTGTGCAAGTGTGTGTGTGTATGTATGTGTGTGTGTGTGTATGTATATGTGGGGGTAGTTGAGAAAGAAGGTGAGGCCCCACCATCCTCGCAGATGCACATGTGAACTCGCCATACAATTGTGCGGCCCACGAGCCGGATGGCGTAACTTTGTGCTGGCCCAAACCTGGCCGGATGTAGCACAAACTTGTGTCGGCTGGCAATAGGATAAATAAATATTCATACACCCAATCAGTATTGCGCCTGGGCGGAACTGGGTCGGTGCAAAAAGTGACGTGAAAAACGCAGCTTTGCAAGTTCTGCTCAGGGAAAGTGGTCATTCTGGGCCAGTTTGTACAGAAGCTTATCACGAGCCTAGTTCTCTCTATCGCTTTCTCTCCCTCACACACACACACACACACGCACATATATATATATATATATATATATACAAACATTGTCCGGGAGTCTGTCAGGCGTCGATGCTACCTTGACGATGGCAGGTGACCCGTAGATCCTCGGACCTCGGTATCCAGTTCGCTGGGTCAAAAATGTGAACATGTACACATGTGTCCGCGTCTCTCGCACACAACTGCCTCCACAGCATCGCCTGAGGCCTGGCCGCGAGGTTCTCCTCCATTTAACGTTGTGCCGTCGGTCTTGACTGAAATGGGCGTCAGCCCGTAGGTACAGCGCTGTTCCCGCTTTGTTTACTGACGACTGTCGAGCAACAAGTAGCTGGCCAGTGTCCGCATGCCGGCGGAGCAGGGAAAACGATTGGAACCGAAGAAGCACGTCATTCCCCAACATGTCTGGAGGGCACACATTGGCGCGTCGAGCTCTGATTGGTTGAGATTGAACACGGTCGTCATGTGCCCAGGGTCTCAGTTGAGAGTGGGGTGGGGG